GTAAAGGACACGTCTTGTGGTTTTCGATGGCACTCAGGCAGGTTTGTCTCTGAGTGAACCCGGGCTATCCCTGGAGACTGTAGGTTTCTGCAGGGCGAGACCCCGTTCACATATCACCGTGTGCTCTGTAGGATTCTGTCGGCATGCGACGAGAGTCATCAGAGGGTGTATTGCAGGTATCCTTGGGGAGGGGGGTTCCTGGAGGGCACAGTCCCCGCTCAGTTGTCTTTGTGTCCCCTTCTGGGATCTGAATATCGGTAAAGCCAGCTAAGTTTAGTAGGACGGGTTCTGGAACTCTACCTGGCACCGTCAATGACATGCTGTGTAAACTTGGCCAGAGTTTTCTGAACTGTGAAACGGGGTGTCTGCCTCGCGGAGTGGTGGAGTTAATCAGAGGCTCTCAGGAGTTAATGCAAGTAATGAGCTGGAGTGCTTTCGGGGACATGTCAAGCTCCATCATCCTTCCTGACCAGGGTGACTCTCTGCTTAATAAGCGTCCGCTGAGCCAGCGAGGCGGCTGGTGATCACTCGCTGAGTCCCTGCAAGCTCCACGCGCTGCTAACGACGGAGGTGCCCGGGACAACCGCGCTCTGTGCTTTTCAACCCTGACACACACGTGTTGAGCATGTCCTTTTCCACGATCATGGCAGGGGGAACGAGACTCAGCTGCACCACCTGACAAGCGGTGGTATTTGCTTAACACACGCCTGGAAACGTGTGATCATGCTTCATCAAGCGTGTTTTTCCTTAGGCAGCGTGTGCTGGAATGTGTTTATCATCTGTTTAAAGTTTAATTTTTTTTTTTTTTTTTTGCCGTGGCTGTTGTAAAAACACTCCTTTAACAACTTTAGAAAAGTGCATGAGATTGTGTTTATTGATACATTTGTTTAGTTTCTGAATATGGATTAAGAACTACAAGAGGAGAGTGTTATGGTATTACACATGGTGGGTTCAGATCTTCCAACTGGGCACATCTGCAGCATAACATTTTGTCGTGAGAGTACTAGCTGTGGATGAAACCAGCCCTGCTGCTGCCACACCAGCTGGTCAGAGGGTGAGCGGATCTGCAGGCTGCAGGCACAGCTGCCCCCACAATCCTGAGCCTGGTCTAGGGGTGCTCTCTACATCTTACCTGAGCAGAGCTGAGCCACTTCTTCGCCCCCAGGCAGAAAGGTTGCTACCAGGTGGCCATTTGTGGCCATTGTGGATCTGGAATCTCTATCAGGGCATGATATTTCTTGGGTTTCTCCAAGAGTTTTGTTTTGTTTTCAAAGTAGTTCTACATCAAGCCACAGCTCTCATAACACTTACCTCCCATCACCCAGAGGTCTAGAAGAGTAGCAAAGTCCCACAAGGAGAACAGATCCCCGGCATGTGAAGCATGATATACACCACAGGTGCTTAGGTGCACCTGTGGACTTCTGGGCACTGTCTGCTTTTATCAGTTGTGCTGCTCTGCTCCTCCCCCCACCTCTCACAGGGCTCTGCAGCCAGGTGTACTCTTGGCCTCACCTGGTGAGCCACCATCAGCCACCCTAGGACGTTGCCTGATGCCTTAGAGATGATGTATGTATTAACTCTTGTGGGGATTTACTCCATCTCAGAGTCCCTCTAAATTCTACAATTTGAGTGTGTCTTTCTGAGTTTCTAAAGGTGGTGTACCTGTGGTCCTGTTCTGGCAGGACACAAACAGCTTGCAGCCAGTGTTTTGCTGCCAAGATAAAGTAATATTGGAGAATTGTTTACGTTCACAGGCTTTGGGGTCAGTTGGACAAAGCAGGGTTTGTATCTGTCACTCCACCCCTTACTAAGTAAGTAGCCTTCAGCAGTTGACAGCTTCTCTCAGTCTCAGATTGTACAGCCGTAAAATGGAGAGAAATAGTAGGATTTATTGTAAGGATTCAATGAGACAAGATACCTATTCCAACCCATGTCGCATAATAAGTGATCAATTAAAGTTACCCATTATTATTACCAAGAAAGCCAATCCTTGTACAACCCTCTGAGGTAATTCTTGTTGTCTCCACTTTGACTTGGAGAATGCAGACTCACTTAGTGACCTGGTGAAGTGATACATACATATAAAATTTATGTATATATATATATATATGAGAATCAGTTTAGATTTACAGAGATTTACAAAGGTGGTAAACAGAGTCCCTGTATACCCTTAACTTAGCTGCTAACATTGATTTCCAATATTATCCTACACGACCATAGTGTATTTGTCAAAATTAACCTTGGGACATCATTATTAACTGACTTGACTCAGATTTTACTAGTTTTTCCACTAATGTCCTTTTTTCTTTTCCAGGATCCAATTCACAATGCCATGTTGCATCTAGAATATAAACTTTTAGAGGGTGCTTTTTCCTTATTTTAATAGCTTGGTCTATATTCCTGCTTATTTATATTTTGTTTTATTTTAACCAAGAGGGCGATATGTATATGCCATCAAAACCATTCCCGAAAATAGCCCTTCTGTTCTTGTTGTTATATAGCAAGCACTTACTTCGTTGTTAAATTTAAAGCGAAAGGTCTGTGACTTTGATTGAGGAGGAGGACAACCAGATACAATTCACACACGAAGATTCCTTCCGTCCTCTGCTCTGGGCGCTTGCATGAATAACAGCAAAGTAGTTAAACTTCCCATGTTTGCATGTGATCTCTGAGAAGCAGGAATCACAGTTGCTGTCAGAGTAGTACGTTAAGATGATATTGAAAAAATAAAAGATGGGAAGAAGACTTTTAACCTTCTTGGGAGGCCACTGCAGAAACCGTAAACTATGCTGTGAACTTCTGCAAGCATCTCCCCTCAGCCAGCATCTGTGTACATGCGACATTGAGTCCCCACCGCAGGACAAGCCTGCTGATGTGAGGACATCAGTCTACCGTCCTCAGCTGGCAGAAACCAGCTTTGGGAGATGCAGATTGGCTGCAGGAGTCCTGAAACCTCTGTCTCCAGCAATTGGCATCCTGAATTTAAATGGCATTCATGTCCAGGGTGAATCACATGTGATATCCTTGCTAGGAATGAGTGTGTGTTCTTTTTCAGCCGGCTCTGTTTCCGTTTAACTCTCTATTTAATGCTTTTGTGCCAGCTTGTTGAGAACAGGCTGTTTCTTGGAGTAGCTGAGCGAGCACCTGCTCCCTTTGTTGCAGCCTGACTTCCTGAGGCCACGCCCGCGGCAGTACTCAGGTCTGCGCTTGGCTTGTTACCCAGTCGTTTATGCCGAGGGAGGCAGTGCTTATTCATCCATCCGTGGGCCACCAGCAAGGCTTGAGGGACTTCAGCCCTGGCCTCTCTGAGCCCCAAACTGGCAAGCCCCATCTCCATCCCTGGGTGGAGGTGTTGGTGATGGAGGGACCGAGAAGAAATGTCCTTTTCACCCTCTGAAGGTTCTCTGAAAATCAACTGACAAAAGGCAGGTTAACAGGAGAAAAAGTATACAGATTTATCAGTGTACACGAGAGTCTTAGAAAGTAGAACTCAAAGAAAAGGCCAGATGGTTGGTGCTGTTGTACCATATTGAGGTTACAGAAATAACAGGGCTTGGATCCTGGTAGAACAGGTTACGGGAGGGGGCAAGGGGAGGCCCGGCCTGGCACGGGTGGTCTTGCTGTGTGGCTGACACCTCCCAGGGGGCAGCCCTCGGAGAGAAGAGATAGTGAACATGCTTGCTTTAGGTCCTAAAGGTGTCAGAGTCTCAGCTCATCTGGAAAAGGGAGGCCCTGGGAGAAAGCCGGCTGCGTCAGTGCACATTTCCTCTGCAGATGCAGATCTCCCCTGCAAAACGCAGTTTGCAGGGCTCCTTCTGTCTGCACACCCTCTGAGCAGCTGTCTCAAACTATGCCCAACAAGTAGATTTTGGGGTGAAGTATTTTGGTTTCCTTCAGTGACTGTCTTCCGACATGATCTGCTGACAGTCTGACCCACTCCGAAGTCCTACTTGCTTCCAGCCTCCCCGGCACCCTCTCAGGGTTGTGTTTATTATCTTCCAGTTGCCTCATGCACACAAAGCCTGTTTCCTCCATTAGGCTGGTAAGAGCTGTGCTGATAATAAAATAGCAGCAATGATGACCATGGCCATTTCGGTGCCCTTCCTCTCTTGCAGGCACTAGGCAAGGCAGCTGGGATCATCATTCCGTGGGATACTAACAGGAACATCGTGAGGATGGCAAGGCTATTTGCCCCAGGGCCCGGGGCTGGTGCATTCCTTTCCTATGGCCACTGTAATAGTTGGCCACAAGCAAACTGAGTGGCTCTAAACAACATGAATTTCTTATCTTAAGGTTCCAGAGGTCAGAAGTTGAAAACTGGGTCCTCAAGGTGTTGGCAGAGCTGCATTTTTTTTCTGGGGCCCCTAGAAATGCGTTTTCTGGCTTCCCGAATGTGTTCCTTGGCTTGGGTGTCCTTCTCTGTCTTCAAAGCCTGCAGCATGGCATCTTCTGGTCTCTCTCTGTGATTACGATCCCTGCTTCTCCGCCAACTCCCTCTTCCCTCGTAAGGACCCTGTGATCCCACTGGGCCCACTCGGACAGCGCAGGATTCTCTCCTCCTCTCAAAAGCACATCTTCAAAGTCCCTTGTGCCACATAAGGCCGCATGCCCAGGTCCCCAGGTTCCAGGGATTCGGACTCTCACACTGGGGACACCCTTATCTTGCCTACCATAGCTGGTGAAAAGTCAAAATGGAATTTCAATCCCCTGACTCCAGAGGCATTGATTTGAGTCTTTGTTGCTTTAAGATTAGGGACTCTTCTGATTACAGAGTCATTGCTTGTGTCCACCCTACGATGCTGACCATGTCATACATAGTGGTGACCGTATCATATACATTACCTTTTTTCTACTACAGTATATTTGTTCACAAAATACCCATTGAATCCATGTGATCAGTTTCTTCCAAATGGACTGCCCCACGCGGAGTGAGGAAGAGTACGTTCAAGTGAGTATTGAAGAGACTGAAATTTCCTGCTGCCTCTCTTTGGATATTTTAGGAGGAAAAGCCAACAATTGGGAAGGAGGCATTCGGGTTCCAGGCGTCCTCCGATGGCCCGGCGTGATACGGGCTGGTCAAGTGATCCACGCGCCAACTAGCAACATGGACATCTTTCCCACAGTGGCCAAACTGGCCGGATCGCCGCTGCCTGAGGACAGGTACCCTGGTCGGAGGGTGGCTGGTGTCGTCCGGCTGTCAGGGTGCTTTGGTTGTCTGCATAATGGCATGCTGCCTCCGGCCAGGCTCACTAGGGGGTTTATGAGTGGGCTAGACAATGTAAACCTCCTCCCACCCCACCGTCAATCCTGTTATACCCAAGGGAAATAAACTCAGAGGCCGCGCACATTTTCAGTGACCAGGGGTGGGGATGGATGCTGTTTAACTGAGCCTTCCTCTCTGAGCATCCTGCTGGTGCCATGATTGTCAGTCTGTCTGTGCCCGCCGTTGGCTGCCGCCGCGCAGCTGGGCGATCGCTCCTTCGGCCTCCCGCGCGCGCTGGGACCCCACACATCTGCCTCCGGCCTGGCTCAGCAGCTCTCGGCTGCAACAGCGAGAAAGGCGTGTAATCCCCCAGCTTGGCCCCAGCATGTGTAGACTGAGCGAGTTCCAAATGAAACGTCTTTCTCCTATGTTTAGACACAACTTCATATGACATTGCCGATGGTTCCCTCGTAAGTGCTATTACCAATCTGAAGGGTTTAAGGGAAGCACGCTGATTGATTGTTTTCATTAGTTTGGTGGCAGGCCAGGCGAATGTCACGCAGGCGGCTGCAAATCTTGTTTAAATTCAGCTGCCGTGGGAAGGAGGAGGAAAGGGGAGAGGAAAGAGGAAACCAAAGGCGACCATGGCAGCTCCGCCAAAGCAAGCCCAGAGTTAGGTTTTCTCACCTCCCGTTGCTTTCCACCTTGTGTCCTTGCTGTTTTCAACTCCGCTCCCCAACACGTTCCTAGGCTTGTGCACAGATGAGAAACACGGTGATGACAGTTCAGCCATTCTCAAGCTCTGTGGTCTCAAGACCCTTTTACATTCATCAATGATTTAGGACTCCAATAATCTTTTGTTTATGCAGGTTATATCCATCGATGCTTATTATATTATCAGTTAAAACAGATTTTTTTTAAACACGACAGTGCCCCAAGCATACTATTTCTTTGGCTGATACAGTAATGACATCATCATCCACCCAGGAGGGCTGCTGGCAAAGTCCATTGTACACTCCTGGCAGAGTAATAGTGAGAAAGACAAAGAATGCCTTCCCGTTGTCGTGGGAGTAATGTCGGCCTCTCAGTCCTCCTGAAAGAGTCGCAGGGATTTCTGAGGGTCTCTGGACCACACTCTGAGACTAGCAGGGGCTCTGGATAAGAGTGGAGACTCCAGAGCTGCACTGCCTGGGTTCCTATGCTTGTCTCCACTGCAGGCCAAGTACTGAATCTTCCTGGGCCTTCAATTCCTTGTCTGGAAAATGGGTTCAATAATAGCACCGATTTTACAGGGTTGATATAAGGATTGAAAACATCCATGCACATGAAGTGCAATACAGAGAACTAATGAATATTTGCCATTTTTGTCCCACCTGCTGTATTAAGGTCATAGTTAGATGTCCATAAGCTCAGTACCTTCCTCTTCCACATTTCTTATCCATCCAACGTCATAAAATCTGAGGGCTGAGGGGACTTTTAAGACCTACTCTAGTTAAACTATTCTGTTTTCCACTCTAGCCATAGAAAACCTGGCAGCCGTAACTCACGGAAAGTCCTTTCTATATAAAGCCAGAAATCTCACTCCCTGTGTCACCTCCTCATTGGCTCTAGTTTGCAACTTTGGAATAAAACTTAATACTTCCTCAAGTAGCTCAAACAGTGTTCAGGCCATTTCCTTCAGGACCTTTCTTTCTCCTGGCCCGTAATATTAAAATCCTCACTGCTGCTCATCTTTGTATCACCTGGGAATGGCTGTCCGCCCCACTGGGGAAAAGCAAGGGAAGGGAAAAGGTAAGACGCAAAGAGGAAAATCCCTAAAGGGACATCTTCCTGCTTCCACTTCCTCTCCGTGCCTGTCCGGGGCCAACGGGGGTGAATCTGTGTTTCTTCTGCGAGGTCATTGAAGAAGGAAAGAGCCTCCCTCTAAGAGACAGACCCAGATGTCACGTGGGTGAACTCGTGACATCAGTAGAACGAAGTTTCGGTGTTGAGGACCTCCATCCACACATTTCAATAACAGCATCCAGGCACTATCCTCACGTCTCTGTCCATCTGTAAATGGGAGACCCAGCCATCTACCCTCACGTCTCTGTCCATGTGTAAATGGGAGACCCAGCCATCTACCCTCACGTCTCTGTCCATGTGTAAATGGGAGACACAGCTGTCTAACCTTTGAAAACAGCCTCCTTCCTGCAAAGGTTGGTGGGAGTCAGCTTCCTCTGTTTCCGGCCAGAGCAACACTAAATTTACACTGCTCAGGAGAAGGAATTCATTCGGAGGGTTGGGCCCACACTGTTTGATGAGCTCTTAACAGAGTGCCTTCGCGCCTTTCTGTGTGTTTTGTCTGAAGGAGAGAATTTCTGCCCAGCAGACTCCCTTTCCTCAAGAATTGTGTCTAGCGGGAGGCCTTCCCAGCCAATCAAAGCTTGGAGGGAGATCAGAAGCGCTTAGATCCAGGGTTTCTACTTAAGTAAAGAGAGAGGGGTCCACGGGTGAACAGGAGAGATTTTTGCAGCATCTTAACGCTGCGGTGAGGATAGTTCTCTAATTCAGCCCCACGGCGTGCCTACACAAGATTTCTTTGCGGCAGTGAATTTTTCCTTCGTACACACTGATTGGTTCATTTGCATGCAGTGGCAGGACTTGTCAAAAGAACTCTCAGTGTCCATCACCTCAGGCAGATTGAGAAAAATCACTCTCCCCCGTGTCTCCAATAAGCTGATTCTGGAAATAAATGGAGAGCAGCCTATTTTTTGTGTGTGTTGTAAAAGGCAGGTAACAGGGGCTTTATTAAAGAAGAGTCTAATACCAACCCCCAAATGTATTAATTCATTAAAACCCAAAACCTTTCTGTGGTTCTCATCTTAGCAAGCAGATACAATATGGTCATGGTAAGACTGCGACCTTCCTATTGTTGGTAGTAAAGAATCACAACAGGTCATAGCTGGTTAAATTTTTTGGAAAACATCTGAATTCTAGCCACAGACTGTTCAGCTGCGGGGGGGAAGGAATCAGAGTGCTGGCATCCCTGATAATCAAATGTTAGAGGTAAAATAGTTTAGATCTTCTATTCCATAGTTGAAATAAAATAAAATTTGATTATTTTTGTAAGTTAGGAGAAGAAATTAAACCTTTAATGCTCAACGTGGCTTTTTTTAAATGCAGACAAGGAAGGGATTGAGTTGACCTCTCCCAGCAACTTTTACTGACTGACAGCTAAGTCAGCACAGGAGGTCCGTTCAGTGGAGTGGTGTAGGTGAGGACGTGAGTGAGCTCTGTCTCGTTCGCATTTGTTTTGCAGAATAAAAGGTGATGTGAGCAGTCCCGGCTTTGCAAGTGCAACCGCTTATAACGGACCCGCCTTTCTATTCAACTTTTGGCGGAGTGTTTTATGTTTACAAATGTAAACATACTTTTCTAAATTGCGAAAATATATAATGTCAAGGTACCGAGGATTCCCTTTGGTTTATTACAGATAGCTGTGCTTTCTCCTGAAAATGCGTCCTTCCTTAGTGATTGCTTTCTGCGCTGGAATCACTTTGTTTTGAGTATCGTACAGGCAGCTCTCTCACCAACACCCTGCCTCTACTTAGCCTCTACGTCAGTCTCCAAAACCTTGTCTTCCGCATCCTCCCAAGCCTTTTCCTTCTCCTGTCGTCCTCCACGCCTTCCCGGAGTTGGCCAGGCTAGGGGCAGGGGGGAGGACATTCCAGGTGAGAGACCAGGGTGTTTGGAGACTGAGCGGAGAGCACGTTCATGGAGGAATGAGGCCGCAGTATCCCCAGGAAGGTGTCCAGGACACGCTCTTTTTGATCATGTGAGAGAGTTGTTCCCGTGCTGTGTAACTTTAGACCTGAAATTCTGAAATGAGGGCGCCTTGGAAGCGAATTGTTAATAGTGCCATTATCACTGCCAGTCAGGAACCCTGGGAGAATCATCTCGCCTTCCGACTTAAGAACAATCCCTAATGAGCACCTGTTCTTTACCAAGAGCCACGAGGACACTAGGAGAGAGCTCATCCAATTTTATCGCATTGGCTACTATGCAAACTTGCTCTGAAAACTTCAGTCAGTTTGCAGGAAAAGGCCCATTAAACGATTCCCATAGAAAACAGCAATGCTTCGTGTTACGTTGAAAGTGGATTGCCCGGTCTCCCCCAAAGCAGGACATGGTAAAAACATGTTTGGACTAGCAGCATCAATAGAAGTGTGCTGCTCTCCAAGTCATTGCCACCGTTAACTGCGAATCCCACAGGTGGTTTAAAACAACCCCAGGTATTTTGATAGCTTGCACACCACTTAAAAGTTTAGCTCAATAGGGTCACTTTCAATTTTTCATAGCAGAAATGAGTCTGTCTTTGACAGGCCATATTTCTGCAACCCTGTTAAACGGTGGCTTTCCATAGCCCTGTGATTTATTGTCTGCTTCTAGAAAAGAGCATCTTAGGTGTAGGATATTTTTTTAAAAAATGAGTCTATCTCCACATTTGAAGAAAAAGAAGTTTGCAGAACAGACTTTGTTCCCCTCCATAAAAAAAAAAAAAATTCCCAATGTTTTGCTTTTAAGTAAGAAAAAATTCATGAAACTTAGAGTCTTATTTTGTTAATTAAATCCCTTTTTTCTATCATGACCAATTTCAGTTATCAAATACTGATCTTAAGACAGCAGTTCCATCTCCCACGTTCTTAAATCACATGTTGAGTTTTGTTGGCAAATGGAAAACATAAAATAGAAATAAAAGCCAGGCCAGAGTGAAGAAGTTAAGGTCGAGATTGTGTCCGAAAAATGGAGGTTCCATCTTTGTTTGGGGGAGTCGAAGAAAGACGGCCCATCCCCCCGAGGGTGGATGACGCACAGAAGGATGGACAGCCTCCTCTGCCTCTTGTCACCTTCAGGCCATTGTTTGCCATGGGGGCCTTTTCATGGTGGAATCCTCACACCTGCCCACCTGCCCGCTCACCTCCTCCTTCCTTTCCACCCTGTTGGGCATCTCACATTAGAAAGGCCTGAGTTTTTCTTGAAAGCGATTTGCAGAGAAGGCTGCACGCACGCTGCCTGCCCTTTCGGGGTGGAAGCGGTGTTTCCTGGCGGCACACACAGCGTCTGCATGGCACGGTCTGCGCCACGCTTCTTTGCCTTCCGCTCACGGGGATGCAGGCTCCGGAACTGAGCCAAGCCTGACTTTTGTTCTTATTTTTAACTTAATGATAATAGAATATTTTCGGTCCATAGACTTCTGCAGAGCATATGATTTAATAACGAGAGTTGGAGCCAGAGAAGCGCTAAGCAACACGGCTATAATTACATTACCGGTTTTTAGTGGGCTGAAATCAGCCACAGGAAAAAGCTCGGGGGACGGGAGACCTATGACCTCTGACCTCTGAAGCGCGCTCACCCGCATCACAGAGCCGTGTTAAACGCCCGGTCTCTAAACCCCTTGCAGTCAGACAGGACAGGGACGTGGTGTTTTTAATCAGAGACAGAAAACCCTTGAGTTGAATGCTCCAACTCTTCCAAAATAGTTCTCTGCCCCTTGTTTTGATGGCAGCAGCCTAATGGTGGCAATGACTTTGGTTTCTCAAGTGGCTGTCATCGTATGTTTAGCTCAGAACAAAGCGTCAGGCTTTTCGCTTATATTAAAACTCCAAAAAGTCTTACTTTGCTCATCACCAGTTAAATGTCGATTCTTTGCAATCTGAAAAGTTCCTCTTCGCGGCCTGGTTAGATGCCCCAGCAGTGGAGGAGATACGTTTTCATTTGGGGGTAACCCATTCCGCTGGTGTTGAACAGTGCCCTCATCACTGTATAGAAACCAGTTCCTCCTGATGGGGAAACACGCTTTGACTGAAGGCTGTCCAACCCAAGGGGCCCCGTGATGCATAGTTTCTTCTTTTTAACTGGAATTTTCAGGCACCCCCATTTTCAACTGACCTATAGTTCATGAAAAAAGCTCTCCCTTTGGTCGGACAAAAGATAGAAAATCAAGTTTCAGGGAGGAGAATAATTGAGAGCGCTAATGCCACGTTGCTTGGGTTGCAAACCCATCAGCTCTTACTAGTCCCACAGCCTTGGATGTTCTGAGCCTCAGTTTTCTTTCTCGTCTCTGTAATGGGGATGAAAACAGTCCCAACTCCTGCTGCTCTTTGGAGCCTTAATGAGGTAGCGCATGGACAGAGCGGGGGTCAGTGTGCTGCGCACAGCTCCCAGCTGGGGTTAGTCTTCGTTGTACGGCTGGTTTATTACAAATGTGGAGCTCCACCACGCCCTGGGTTGTCCAGAAGGACATTTCAGAAGTGAGAGCATCCGTGTCCGAGGGCGAGGTGGCTGACGCCCGGCTGTTTTATCGCGCAGGATCATCGACGGCCGTGATCTGATGCCCCTGCTCCAAGGCAAAAGCCAGCGCTCCGACCACGAGTTCCTCTTCCACTACTGCAACGCCTACTTAAACGCCGTGCGCTGGCACCCTCCCAACAGTGAGTAGACACAGCTTGCCGCGCTCCTCACGCTTTGCACGACCTCTGCCGTGTGGCCGGATGGAGTCGAAAGTCGGCTTTGCTCTGCGGAGGCCAACAGAGGCCTCAGAGTGCCGCCATGCTTTGCTCTGTCCTGTCTTCCCCCCTCTCCCTCCTCTCTCTGTCCCTCTGGTCACGCAGTTGTCCAGGTACAACGTCGTGGGACTGTGCCATTTGCCCAGCTGAACGCCTCTTCCCAGCACAGGAATGGCAAGTTCTCAGCAGGGCACCGTGGTCCGCCCTTCATTGCTTCGGCAGCTGCCCAGCTTCCCTTCCTGCACTTCCCGCCCCCTCTGAGTCTCGGCCGAGCAGCCGCTGCACTCCGTGCATTGCTGTGCCTTGCATTTGCAAGTTCCTCTGCCTGGAGGGGCTTCTTGCCTCTTCCTCCCTGGAGGGTGCATGTCCGTCTCCCCAAGACTCCCCTGAAATGCCGCCTGCCCTGCCTGCGCTCAAAGCATTTTCTTCTCTTCCTCTAGCATTGATTGCGCTAAATGCTAGAGAATGAATGAATGCATGAACGAATGAATGAATGAAGGGCATTTAAATATTTACCTTCCTTTCCCCAGCCTCCAAGATGGTAGATCCTGATTCACTGAAAATATGTTTTCTTACCCATCATGTGTATTTACTAGATTTAGATATTTAAAGCAAAGTTAAAATGCTTTGATGTTATCACATTCCCAAACCGGGGGTTCTTTAAATTGCACATCCTAACGGGATCTAATTTGGGTTTTCCAATAGGTTTACAGTGCTATTTCCAATGAGCATCAAGGAACAAAGGAAACCAAGTTATGATCCTAAGTGTGGTTGTGGATTTCAGATTTTTTTTGTTTTTTCCAAATCCTTGGATTGAACTTTAAGGTTCTGCTCCTAGAGGCTAGACCAGGGATCCTCAAACTTTTTAAACAGGGTGCCAGTTCACTGTCCCTCAGACAGTGTTGGAGGTCCAGACTATAGTTTAAAAAAAACTATGAACAAATTCCTATGCATACTGCACATATCTTGTTTTGAAGTAAAAAAACAAACGGGCAAAAATACCCGCATGTGGCCCACGGGCCGTAGTTTGAGGAAGCCTGGGCTAGACCGTCCAGGGCATGTCATGACCTGTCAACTCTTGGCTCCTTCTGAAACTCAGGGTGATTCTCATACTGTTTTTCAATGAATCTCTCCCCACCTTACTCACCCAGACAATCTACCAAAGACATAGCATTTAGCAAGCAGCCTTTCTGTTGTTTTAAAAGTGGAAAATTATAGCCTTTCCTTTAGCCACACGAATCACACCAGGTTGGTCCTCCAGGGTTTCTGCTTTAAGTCTGGGCAGTTTCCTGGTGACATGTTGTAGATGATGAAAATCAAAAATGTGGTCTTGGGATTCTAGACTGGGAAGTATCTCATGCACATACCTCATCAGCGTGGCCACAATTCCTAATCTCCCTGGGAACACCGCTTCTGTTTTTAGATCCATTTACAGCATGGAGGGCTGAGCCCTGTTATAAGAGAGGTGTACTTCTCTCAATTTGTTTTTCTATGGAGCCTGTGAGGCTATAAAGAGCAAAGTTGCTGTGACTCCCGGGTGTTTAAAGAAGGCTGATCTCGTGTCCTGGGCCTTGCAGTAGCACGTTTGAATGGAGCCAACCCCCCAGCCAGAGAAGCCGGAAGAAACATATTGGATCAGGGGCTGAAGGAACACGTTATGTGGAGGAGTAAGGAGAAGGAGGGACAGGAAGAGATAGAAAATAGGAGTAAGTGAGAAAAACAAGACCCAGTTTCTCAGAGGCAACTGGCCCTGGGATAAAATTTGCTTCTGAGACAGGCACAAGTATCAGTTCTTCTTTGTGCAGTTCATCAAGCTTTTAGGCTTGAAACCAGCACCAAAAAAGGAGAAATCACAGTATATCTCAAGGCTAGAATCATTCATCAAGCTAAAGGGTCTAAAAAAACCATGGAATTTATGAATCATTTATGATTCACTGTTCAGATTATATCTGCAACTCGGTAGCCATCTTTTTTTCTGTCTTGGCTTTCATGCATGGCTTGGTGTTTAGTTATTTAGTATTTTATCTACTCATTTTTTTCTACAAATATAAATTGGTCACTTAATATGTGGAATGAACTTCACCAGGGCAGACATCTATCAGTGAGCAAAACAAACGAAACTCTCTGCCCAGGATTGAGTTCCATCTTGGAGCCTGATGCTACTATCTGTGCATGGTGCTGCGGATGAGGGAATACATAAGGACGGGACAGAAATTGTGACCTGTTTGAACGGAGCTTCCTGTCCCCCCAAAAAGACAGGTCTTACGTAGTATTTGAGTGAGAGTGCTTAGGTCATCTCAGATCTGCTCTGGTAGGAGATCGTCAATAATCCCGGGATGATGTAGATCAGTTCCCATAAATCTTAGGAATAAGAGGGTTGCCACCTGACCTCCGAATCCTTTATTAGAAAAGAGAAATTTAAGATCAGGGATTATTAACTAGCTGGAACCAGCTCCTGGTCATTCGGGGATCTTGCCAGCTGGTTGTTAGACTATTGTCAGTTTTAATTCAGCCATGTTGGGAGTGTTTACACCACAGCAATTGGCAGACGCAACAAATCCAAGCTTGATTTCTCCCTCACAGAACTAGATTCTCAGCAGTTCATTGATATCAGTAAATTAAGACTGATTGGAACTGTTATTAAGATGCAACTACTATTTGTCTTGATTATTCAGGGGCCTAATTGTTAAAATTTCAGGCTCATTAAATATTTTCAAAAACTGAGAACTAGGATTCTGTTTTCACCCTCTGAAAACATGAGACCCTTTTAACTTTTTATATACAAAGTCTTCTCTATAATTTAGTTGTCTCAGCAAGTTGAATGACAAAATTTGATTATGATCTGATTATCATTATTCCTATTATATTTTAAAAGAGCTCATGAAAGCATTATTATAACCTGGGTAACTTTTCTTGCATCAAAGTGGGAATTTTGAGTTAAAATTTACTGTTCAATGTGCTCGAAAACTTTTGGCCTTACCTTTTGACACATGAATTAATGTTATTAAAAATTCAACACAATGACAACTCGATTTTATGGGCGAAATTCATCTTAGCAAGTGGATAGATACTTGGCTTCAGGATTTTAGAGCCAATGAGTATAATCTATGGAATAAATGCTCACACTAATGGGAAAGCCCTCAAACCAGCTGGTCACACCACAATCCCTGGGGTAGCTATAGGATACAATGCAATGTCCTATGTAATTAACAGCTTAAAGCATTTTCTACAAACATGTATGGAATCTTGACATCTTCTATGGGGGAAAAGTCACATTATTTGAAATGTCATGCTTTTGGGAGGAAACAGGCTCTCCAGGAAGCCACAAAAATTGGTTCAGAGGAACAGGGCACTGACACCATTCTTTCTCCTAAAGAAAAATGTGGCTGTCCACATGTCCGAACCAGCAGGTCCCCATAAATCCTGCTCCATTTTCCATTCAAGTTTGCTGGAAACTTCTTTTTCCCCCTGTAAGTAAGAAAAAATTTTAGAACCCTTACTTAAAAAAAATTGCAACACTAGGGACATTTGAATTATTCTCTTCTAGCTTTTTGGGAGGAACTGTACAATCTGTTAATATTAACTAGTGACGGACATCCCAATTATCCAAGTTTGATGATACGAGTGCACCACATTATCACATGTACCCTGAAAATATTTACATCTAATATGCATCCATAAAAATATAACAATTACAAGCAAAAGCAGTAGGGTAATGGAATTCATTCTAAAGGAATGTGTTCGTATCCAACTTTCTGAAAGGCACATTCTTTTCAAAATAAGAGCTAAGTAATGGTTTAAAATGAAAACCAGCCTTACCATGGTAAATGAGGAAAGATGCTTGCAGTGTTCAGTATTTAAATTTTTCATTTAAATAGACACTTAATTCTGCCTCTAAAGTACACCTCATCAAAGAGAGGAGATTCTGATGACAGCCACTCATGTCTCAGGAGCTGGCCAGCATCGGAAAGGCCGCGCTTGGCTCTCATCTTCATTCGTAAGTGTGGTGTGTACCATTGCATGCCCTTCCTCATCTGATTATCACAAGTTGGAGCTGAAGGGTCAGAAATAAAATATAGAAGGCTGAAGCTGAGCTAATGTGAAATTCAGTAGATGCAAATTTCATCTCACCGAGAACATTCCCGTCTTTCAACTTACCTTAAGAAGGACATGCTCTCACCCTACTGTAACTTTGGTAGCAATTAGGAAAAAGCGTACGTGTGTAAACCATTTCAAGGATGTATTTTAAGTCTTAGGATTTCTTTTTTCTTTGCGAATATCTTGGCCAAATGCTGCATTGCTACAAGTTTCTGATCTCTCTCACGTGCACCCATTAATTCATTTACATGCCCACTGAACACAGTAGCAAGGTGCAAGACACGTACATGTACTTGTACTATCAGCCCAAGATAGACAGAATTGGCTTTGGTGACCTTGGGGGAGGAGTGACTTAGGAGGTTGGAAAAGGTTTCCCTGAACTTTTAAATTTTTATTTAATTTATTTTATATCGTTTTCATTCAGACACATCAGTAATGGGCTTACATTTCTTAACCATTCACTTTCTTTAATGGGAAAAAAAATAACCTCATAAATAAATTTTGTTTCCTCCAATGTAATCCATTAAGCATGTATTTTCATATGGAACTCCATATTACCTGATAGACAAGATCAGACCATTTTTGAGACAGACATTCACTTTTCAACTCAGGTCTTACTATGTCTAACCTAAGATTACATTAATACCCTGGATGAAAAAGTACTAGCTATTCAGTTTTGTTAACTTGCCACCATGTAAGCTTACTATCTGCTAGAGACAAAATAAATCAGAATTGAATTTTCCTTCTTGAATACCAGAAAAACAGCCACAAACCAAAAACCGGGTGTGTCTGAGTGCTCAAACATCCTGGTCAGTGTTGTCTGGGCA